GTACTGTACTTCTAATTTATATTGTGAGGCCGTTACACACCTCAGACACACACAGGGAGCTGTGTTTTTACTTCACACACAGGTCTGATGTCATCACACACAAATAATGACTAAATGAACATTAACAAAGAAGAAATGCTCTGAATAATTTGTCTCTGTTGAACTTCCTCTAATCGTTCAGCAGCGTTTCTTTGCATTAGACCACATTTAGAGGCTGTTATTCACTCCGAGTCTCTGACGACGTTTCTTCTTCTTTTTGGAGCATTTTATTGTGTATTTCTGGTCATTTTTATTCTCTTCCTGGTTGTTCAGTGTCTCTTTGAGGGACATTTTGCAGCTTTGATCCGTGTCACAGATAATTGATTCACTGCCGGATGCTGAAAAGTCACATTCTGTGGTTTTAGACGAATAGATATTGTTTTGGAAAATTCTATTTCTTATTTTTTGTTGACTTTTGAAAGCCAGTCGAGTCTTAAAACACTTCTTATCAGTGACGTGTGATCTAATCAGCACATAAATGTCACGTTAGGGGGGAGGTGTGAAAATGTGCGTTTCCGTGCCGCCATTTTGTCAAAAATTGACCAAACATGGTCATTTCCTTGTTTTTTAGGCGTGTGTGTGTGTAAGATAGTAAGATGTGCCCTCACACACACACACACACACACACACAATATATTTCAGACAAAATGGCGGCCAAATTGCCTAAACAGACACACGTGTATTTTCACACTTTCCCCCCAAAGGTGCCGTTCATATTCTACTAATCTATATGTCACAGTATCGTTCCCCTCAGAGTTCTGCATTTCTCTACAGTTTCCATCTCCACTCTGCAGCAGACTGACCACAGACAGAAGAGCACAGAGCAAAGACACTCTTCTTCTCATCAACCAAACCCTTCTAATACTTCAACTTGAGCTTTTTCAGGTCCACAGGTTCAATACGTCGCTGTTCCTTCCAGCTGCAGAGTCCATGTGGACATCGTGGACTCTTTCATTACTTTCTATAAACTCAATGATTTTCATATTTCTCATCATATCTTTTCTCTTCAGTAAACTACCAATGAGAGTGTGTCCTGTGATATTGTTCTGAGTGTGACTGTGGTTCCTGATGTGCTGTGTTACAGTGATACAGAGTCAGGATGGATGGGGATTCAATTACCGTCAGACTGACGTCTGTGCTGCAAAAGGATCAGAAGTGGACATAATCTGTGACTACACACACCCACCTGGAATAGATCCCTCTGATATAAAGGACAGATTCTGGTTCACTAAAGAGAAAGATGGTGAACCTGTGGATCTGAGAACAGACTCTGAGTATTCAGGCCGTGTGACGTATGGATGTAATAGTTATATTAAGAGATGCACTCTGATCATCACAGACGTGAGAGAGAGCGACTCAGCTGAGTACAAATTCACATTGATGACAAACAAACCAGGCGAGAAATATACTGGTTCACCTGGAGTCACTTTGTCTGTCACAGGTAACATTTTAATTCACATATTAATCATCTACAAATGTTCAACATCTAGAAAACTAGAGTATAAATGTCTTCTGTGAATGTTGACACTTTAATAAATAATATTCACAGATTCAGGTCTCCAGGTGCAGGTGAGAAGATCAGATTCTACCTGGTTGGAGCTGACGTGTCACAGCAGCTGTGTTCTGTCTGATCGTGCTGAATACGACTGGTCCAAGAATGAAAAGTACTTCGAGACAGGATCTTCTCTTCTAGTCTCCTCTGGTTCTACAGACAGATATTCCTGTTACTTAAGAGGATCTTGGGTTAACGGTTCTCCTGCAGTGTGTAAGTTCACTCCACTGTGTCGGCCTGTGGAGCTTCACCAACATCTCACATGGAGGCACCAGACCGCTGCATGTAAACTAGAGGCATCAAAAAGATGAAGCACCACGTTCCTCAGGAGGTGGAGCCGTGGTCCACTGACCAGAGGGTTGCTGGTTCAATCCCCGGCCCCTGCAGTCTACGTGTAGAAGAGTCACTCACACACTGACACAACAATAGGATTCTAATCACAGCTGTAAACACACTGGAGTCTAAATGTTAAAGGAGACACAGATCTTTATTTATGTCATTCTCTTATTAATAGAAACACAAATATAAACCATCAGCAGACAGAATAATGTGATTTTCATAAAGACTCAAGTGAATTATTCCAGAACATAAGTAGAAGTGACGTGTCAGCTGGTGGAGGAAACCATCAATAACTCCTACAACAACTAGAAGTGAGAGGACAGACTCAGCTAAGGACACCAGCAGCATCTAAAGAGAAGAATGTGTGGAGATATGAACATTACAAAGGATTAAAGGCTGCTTATTGTCACTTTACACCAGCAGGAGTCTCACCTGTGACAGCTGCTGTGATGAATACTAGAGATAGTCTGAGAGAAAGACACACAAGTATTCATTCAAATGATCAACTATCTACGCTAACATCTTCTAATCTCTTAGTATGTTTATTCACGTCTCCTCCAGATGGTCCACAGCGTCTCTCTGTGTCAGTGAGTCCCTCTGCTGAGATGCTGGAGGGCGATTCAGTGAATCTGACCTGTAGCACTGATGCTAACCCAGCAGCTAACTACACCTGGTACAAGCAGAATGGAACGTCAGACCCTCGTCTTCTCAGTGAAGAACCTCAGCTGGTCTTCAGCTCCATCCAGTCCTCTGACTCTGGATGGTATTTCTGTACAGCTGAGAACCAGCTGGGGAGGAAGACGTCTGACTTCATCCTGATCCGTGTGAAATGTGAGTGAAACAACCTTTTTAAAAGCAACATAATCACTACTGAGGTAGTGTTTTGTTATCAACTTCTATTTATTGAACTCTAACGTGTAACAATATGTTGACACGTCTCCTCCAGATGTTCCACAGCGTCCCTCTGTGTCAGCGAGTCCCTCTGCTGAGATGCTGGAGGGCGGTTCAGTGACTCTGACCTGTAGCGCTGATGCTAACCCAGCAGCTAACTACACCTGGTACAAGGAGCATGAAGACTCACCACGAGCATCAGGACAGATCTTCACCATCACTGACTTCACAGCTGAACACAGTGGGAATTATTACTGTGAAGCCCAGAACGAGATGGGACGTAGTAACTCCACCTTACGTCTGATTACTGAGTCTGGTGAGTTTCTCCATGACAGGAATCTTCTGATCAACAAACAGCATCTCCTGCACGTTTATCCATGAATCAAGTCCTTCTGATGAGGTAACGTGCTGTTTGTCTAATAACTGTGTGTCTCCAGGTGTTGATAGAACAACAATGATAATTCACATCACCAGGTGGCCTCTGCTGGTTGTGATGCTGATTCTTCTGCTTCTCTTTTGTCTGTGGACGAGGTAAAACAACTAGAACACATCCTCACTGAGCTTTTACTTTGAAAAGGTCCATCAATCTATTTGTGTATCTGTTTGTTTTATGACTGAATGCAGGAAGAAGAAAGCTGTGAGCTCCACCACTGAACCACATGAGTCCAGAGAGGCTGTGGAGGTGAGACATTTGTCCTCAGAGACAGAACTCACCAAAGGGTCGTCGTCTGTTGTTATTAAGTCATGAAGATAATTCAGAAGTAACTTCATCACTAACATCTTTCTCCTTTTGAACCACCAATATTTATTTACCACGTTTACTGCAAATGTCCTTGAATCCAAAGAGCCATTTAAAGGACAAAGAGTCGTATTGACCATCAGCTAAGCCCCTCCCCTTGGTTACTGTTGCCAGGTCTGTCCAGCTTCAGCATCACAGCACGTAAACATGGCGGTGAAATGTCGGGATGCAAACCAGCAACGTTTACATTTCAGTCATACAGACTTTCACTAAATACGCTTGTGTCTTCACCAGAAGCACATTTAGGAAAAGATTCTGAAATACTTGGTTAAGTTCAGGTGACAAAACTACCAGAGTTCAGGAAATAATTAGTATGTGTTAAAATAACTAATTTTACAGAAGTACTGAAGTCACGAGACAAAGTTGTACAAACAAGGATCTCCTGGGTGACAGATTTATGTTTGTTACACATTAATGAGAATAATTAATGTTCGACTGTCATGCTAAGCTAGCTAACGTCGTTAGCATCTTACCTCGGAGCAAACAAAGGAGTTTTTATTGATCGTTGATGGATTCAGTCTTCCACATGTTTGATCCATAAGTGACATCAACCCTCTAAAGGCCTCTGGTCCCTAGTTACGGTTGCTAACGTAGGAATGTACAGTGTGCGTTGGGGGAGGGGCTTAGCCGAGGGTCGGTTGTATCTGAACTGCTTCTCTGTGGCCTTTGACTCTTATCGTCTCTCCATCAGATGGACCTTCATCCTGAGTGTGAGGACCTCTCAGACATGGCAGCACAGAGAGAAGACCCAGAGGAGCAGGAGGACCAGGTGTGAAGGTCAGCCAGGTGTCAGTCTGCTGCAACTCAAAACAACTTCCTGCTTCCATTTCTGAGGAATAACTTCATGTGATCTTCTTCAGATGCAGTCAAACCAGAGGGAGACTCACCTGGACGGAGACAGGAACAAGTGGACGTATTTCATTTCAATTTATTCTCTTTGCTCTTAGATTGCTGTTTTTATTATAAATGTTTTTTTGTAATTTTCATTGTTGCTGAAACGTGTTTTTTAGATAAACGTGCCTTAAAATATCAGAAGCAGTGGCGTGTAACAGAATATTCATAGTGCTTTAATTAGACCTGTGCTGGTACATTAGGAATGAAAGACTGATCACCATCTCATCCAGTCTTTCTTCATGGGATTAAAGGACAAAGGGCAGAAATAAAATGTATTTTAGGAGTTAAATGGTCTCAATGTTTGAAAAAGAAAACACGTAACCCAAAATGTACTGGGCCACTAAAATAAATTAACTTATACAAGTAGAGGAAAGGTTTGATTGCATTGGACTGTAAGTGTGCAGCTGATGGAAACAGTTTGTTAAACCTTTTGTTCAGACGAAGAGGAGATTTACTCCACCTGATGAAATCCACCTGTAACGCCTCTGGACTGAGTAGCGCATGTGTATATATATATATATATATATATATATATATATATATATATATATATATATATATATATATATATATATATATATATATATACAGTGCAAAGTATTCACAGCGCTTCACTTTTTCCACATTTTGTTATGTTGCAGCCTTATTCCAAAATGGATTAAACTCATTATTTTCCTCAACATTCTACACACAACAACCCATAACTACAAAGTGAAAACTGTTTTTTGCAAAAAAAAATGTTTGCAAGGATTCAATGAAGTGTTCTGAAAAGTGTAATAAAATGACCATTAATGGTTCTTCAGGAGGCTTCTGGCTTTTCACATTTTCCGTTGTGTGTCCATCATTGTACGGCCGTGTGTGATTGGCTGCACATTCAAACGTAGCTCCTCCCATGTTGGTCGTCGTGACGTTCCTCACTCCTGAACTTTAGTCTGTCAGGAGAAAAAACCTTCTTGGGGAAGTATAGAAGAAACCCATCAAGGAAGCTTTAAGCATTATGTTTGGATGCCCTGTGTACAATAATTATGATCACACATATTATAATTCCTTCCACTACATCGGTTTACATTCCTGGCAGAATAATTACAGAAAATGAATCGACATTTATTTTACATCAAGATGATCTTTACACGTTAACAGGTTTATGAACTCTTCTTTTAGCCGGAGGACGACGATAACATCAAAGCAGCTTCTTGTTCTGCAGCTCATGCACACTGATGACGTAAAGAGGAAGGAAGCTCTGCTGGGGATGAACAGCAGCTTGTTACCAACTCCAGAAGAGACGAGCTGACCTCAGAGACATCAGCCTCCTCTTTAATGTAGACGTGTTTCTGGTGACTTACTGAATAAAGAGTTTCTGATCTGCTGATTGAACACAGAGGAGCAGCTATGAGTCCATCAGCCGGTGGATTAGTCGTCTTCCTTCTCTCTGTACAAGGTACTGTACTTCTACATTTATATTGTGAGGCCGTTACACACCTCACACACACACAGGGAGCTGTGTTTTTGCTTCACACACAGGTCTGATGTCATCACACACAAATAATGACTAAATGAACATTAACAAAGAAGAAATGCTCTGAATAATTTGTCTCTGTTGAACTTCCTCTAATCGTTCAGCAGCGTTTCTTTGCATTAGACCACATTTAGAGGCTGTTATTCACTCCGAGTCTCTGACGACGTTTCTTCTTCTTTTTGGAGCATTTTATTGTGTATTTCTGGTCATTTTTATTCTCTTCCTGGTTGTTCAGTGTCTCTTTGAGGGACATTTTGCAGCTTTGATCCGTGTCACAGATAATTGATTCACTGCCGGATGCTGAAAAGTCACATTCTGTGGTTTTAGACAAATAGATATTGTTTTGGAAAATTCTATTTCTTATTTTTTGTTGACTTTTGAAAGCCAGTCGAGTCTTAAAACACTTCTTATCAGTGACGTGTGATCTAATCAGCACATAAATGTCACGTTAGGGGGGAGGTGTGAAAATGTGCGTTTCCGTGCCGCCATTTTGTCAAAAATTGACCAAACATGGTCATTTCCTTGTTTTTTAGGCGTGTGTGTGTAAAATAGTAAGATGTGCCCTCACACACACACACACACACACACACACACACACACACAATATATTTCAGACAAAATGGCGGCCAAATTGCCTAAACAGACACACGTGTATTTTCACACTTTCCCCCCAAAGGTGCCGTTCATATTCTACTAATCTATATGTCACAGTATCGTTCCCCTCAGAGTTCTGCATTTCTCTACAGTTTCCATCTCCACTCTGCAGCAGACTGACCACAGACAGAAGAGCACAGAGCAAAGACACTCTTCTTCTCATCAACCAAACCCTTCTAATACTTCAACTTGAGCTTTTTCAAGTCCACAGGTTCAATACGTCGCTGTTCCTTCCAGCTGCAGAGTCCATGTGGACATCGTGGACTCTTTCATTACTTTCTATAAACTCAATGATTTTCATATTTCTCATCATATCTTTTCTCTTCAGTAAACTACCAATGAGAGTGTGTCCTGTGATGTTGTTCTGAGTGTGACTGTGGTTCCTGATGTGCTGTGTTACAGTGATACAGAGTCAGGATGGATGGGGAGTGAATTACGATGAGACTGACGTCTGTGCTGCAAAAGGATCAGAAGTGGACATAATCTGTGACTACACACCCCCACCTGGAATAGATCCCTCTGATATAAAGGACAGATTCTGGTTCACTAAAGAGAAAGATGGTGAACCTGTGGATCTGAGAACAGACTCTGAGTATTCAGGCCGTGTGAACTACACATGTAATAGTTATATTAAGAGTTGTTATCTGATCATCACAGACGTGAGAGAGAGCGACTCAGCTGAGTACAAATTCACATTGATGACAAACAAACCAGGAGAGAAATATACTGGTTCACCTGGAGTCACTTTGTCTGTCACAGGTAACATTTTAATTCACATATTAATCATCTACAAATGTTCAACATCTAGAAAACTAGAGCATAAATGTCTCCTGTGAATGTTGACACTTTAATAAATAATATTCACAGATTCAGGTCTCCAGGTGCAGGTGAGAAGATCAGATTCTACCTGGTTGGAGCTGACGTGTCACAGCAGCTGTGTTCTGTCTGATCGTGCTGAATACGTCTGGTACAAGAATGAAAGATACATCGAGACAGGATCTTCTCTTCTAGTCTCCTCTGGTTCTACAGACAGATATTCCTGTAATTTAAGAGGATCTTCTGGTCGCGGTTCTCCTGCAGTGTGTAAGTTCACTCCACTGTGTCGGCCTGTGGAGCTTCACCAACATCTCACATGGAGGCACCAGACCGCTGCATGTAAACTAGAGGCATCAAAAAGATGAAGCACAACGTTCCTCAGGAGGTGGAGCCGTGGTCCACTGAGCAGAGGGTTGCTGGTTCAATCCCCGGCCCCTGCAGTCTACGTGTAGAAGAGTCACTCACACACTGACACAACAATATGATTCTAATCACAGCTGTAAACACACTGGAGTCTAAATGTTAAAGGAGACACAGATCTTTATTTATGTCATTCTCTTATTAATAGAAACACAAATATAAACCATCAGCAGACAGAATAATGTGATTTTCATAAAGAATCAAGTGAATTATTCCAGAACATAAGTAGAAGTGACGTGTCAGCTGGTGGAGGAAACCATCAATAACTCCTACAACAACTAGAAGTGAGAGGACAGACTCAGCTAAGGACACAAGCAGCATCTAAAGAGAAGAATGTGTGGAGATATGAACATGACAAAGGATTAAAGGCTGCTTATTGTCACTTTACACCAGCAGGAGTCTCACCTGTGACAGCTGCTGTGATGAATACTAGAGATAGTCTGAGAGAAAGACACACAAGTATTCATTCAAATGATCAACTATCTACGTTGACATCTTCTAACCTCTTAGTATGTTTATTCACGTCTTCTTCCAGATGTTCCACAGCGTCCCTCTGTGTCAGCGAGTCCCTCTGC